CAGACAGACAATTACATGAAGCACTTTCCAAGTTTTTTCACCTCTTTCATTTCTTTCCATTCCTCTTCCTGATTTCTCTTTCCTTACTATGTGTGTTCTCTTCCATCTCTGTCCATTTGTGTTGTTGACACCACAACATAAGCCCTGTGCCCTCAGCCCATGGCACAAACGATGGTTGCCTCTCATCAGCATGACGGGGTGCCTGTGTCTGTCTCTAACACCATATGGGCCTCTCTCTATGTTTGGGTGTGTGACGCCAGTGCCCGCTCCACTGCCATCTGACCTGCAAATGAAAACACAGGCTGGCCTCATTTCCCCTTGCAGATCATTATTTGTTATTGTCACATTTTGATCCCATCTTCAATGTTTGTAAGCTCTTGCTTTGCTATTTATAGCAAAAATAATGCCAGCATTGTCTTTTGTCAAATAGCCATTCAGCTTTTGAATCAGACACAATAACTCAAATTAAAACCATTATAGATGAAGTGAGGAAGGACTACATCATTTCTGACTTTTACTATCTCCCAGCAGTTTCCCTTTGTGTGCATTGTCTAAACTCTGAACAATACAATCAGGAACTTGAACCCTGCTGTAAAAGCCTAATTTGCACATGGCACGATAAAGCCTTCTGTGCCTGTGTAGGACATTTGAACGTGTGCTAAAGGGAATTGAGGGATATCCAGCAACTCTGTCTAACTTCAGCCCTAACTCAACAAATGATAGGGAAAATAAAGTTGGTTAAAGCCCCATGGTAGCAGGGTATCATTAATTGATTCTGTGTTCAGAGAAGCGTAAAGAGACAGGAAAAAGAAAACAGGTGTGCAGCAGTTTCAAAGGTCTTCCTGTCTGCGGAGGGAGAATAAGGTTGTTTTCTTGGTTGTGTGAATCAACTCTGCTTTGTACTCTTTGGCCTTTCTTCAAACCCAGGGTCTGATGTAATTCTTCCCTGTTGAGAATTGTTAAGCCAGAAACAACCACTTCTCTCTGCTTCAAGGCTCAGCTTGGTAGTAATTGCTGCTACTCTCAGAGCTGCACAGGCCTTATATGGGACAACTCAGTGCACTGTATTTGCACAAATCAGACTCTATTGGCTGTCAACATTTACAGGCTGTGACTAAAATGCCTGAGATGTATCACGTCAGACATACCAGTGGCAAGATGGAGAGGATATGACCCAAACTGTGGTTGAACTTTGATGCGTCTTTGTCATTTCCTGTTTGCTTGCTCGCCTTGTACCTCTGACTTTTTCCTCTGTCCCTTCTGAGTTCAGCTGCAGTTCTTAGAGCATCTGAAGCACCAACATAACAATCATTTTCAGCTCATCAATATACAAATGTTTTAGCACTGTTTTTTAAGTTTTCCTAGAACAAGGTCTCACTTGTACACCTATCTACACTCTGAACGTTGTCTTGCATCATAAGCATTCTCTATTTCACACAAACCGAATAAAACCTCCCATAAATAAATATAAAAATAACACAGTACAATATGCTATATACATCTGCAATGTATTGAGTTGCATTCCTTTACATTTATGGTCTGACATACACAGATATACACCTCAGAGGACTAAAATCAGTCCTCTGACCGACATGTCACAATACAAGCAACTGTAAATGTAGACAGTAAGTAGTGCGGCCAGGAATTAATATTGCATGATGTGGCTTACTCAGTAAAAAAACAACTCACATATGTGATATTGGTGCCTTAAAACAAGACTATGTGACCTTTGAAAAAAGTAATTAGCATATTCTGCTTCTTACACACACATGCAAAAATAACAAAACACACTCCTGCTCAGTTAAACTATTTGACCGTTAGTTTTTGGTGGCTAATGTTAGAACGTAACTGAATTAGTTAACTGACATTATTATCTTCTCTTCCTGTCTCAACACTTATACTAAACTTTTATTATTAGTATTCCACAAATGTCAATGTGGCCCTATAGTCACCTTTTTTCAGTCAAACTTGACATTGTCTCACTTTGAATTAACTTCCAATTAAATTGTGTTATACTCACGTTCAACACACTGTCTGACTTCTAAAGGAATGCACTAAATACACTTCTATGCTTCTTTTTCATTTTTTACGTGGCATGGTTCCCATGTTTTTTTTTTATCTTATTGGATATTTATCTGGCAAAAAATCGGTGAAATATTTGTTGTCAAACACATTAGCAGCACTTTCTTTTAAAATGTGCCAAGTGTTTGATGTCACACTTATTTATGTTGCAGCTACCTCACAACCTAAGCCGGTTTAGTGTCATGTGAGTCGAGTGACCTCAGCAGATGTCAGTCTAGTTAGTATACCATATTTATGTGTTCCTAATGTGGTAGGAAATTCATTCTGATTCATTACACTTTCATCAAGTGCCTTGGAAAATGTTCCCCATGTGTTGTTCCCGGAGGCAGCCAGGACAGCAGTGCTCCAGCCAGACCCGGCGCCGTGGGAGGGCCAGAGAGGGCCAGGCCCTCCCATTTGACATTTCTGCCCTCCCCCAATAAACACGTTTTATTTTATTTCTTTTTTTTATAAATAAACTGTGAACTTTAATGCTACGATGTATGTGATGTCAGATAGCAACTACAAACAAATATGAAATCAATTAATGTTACTAGCTTGACCTCGGCAAACCCCGGGGCTGAGTTAGCGAGCCCAATCCTTCAATCCTTCAATCCTTCAAACCTTCAATCCTTCAACCCTTCAATCCTTCAAACCTTCAATCCTTCAATCCTTCAATCCGTTCCATTCTTCAGGCAAACGGCGTCTCCAGCTTTATTAGCATAAAGCAGTAAGTAGAATGTTTGCATGTCTATGAAATATGTCATTGCTTACTGCGCCACATTACGCACTGCATAATGTCGTGTCGCTCTGTATTATTATGTTTGCTGCTCCGGTCAGCGGTTGCCCAAGTTTAAGGCCCAAGCAAAGCTGTTGCTGTTATGTTTTTATTTCAAATGTGTGCCTTGCTGATGAGTTACCAGTGTTTCCCGCCACGCACACAATGTTTTAAAAGTGGTTTCTATGTTGCCCTTTATTTGTGTATGTATTTGCGATAGGTGTGCGCCTTTAGGCAATGCTGTTGGCCACGCTGTTTGATTGGATCTATGTGCCGCGGCACATGACGGTTTTGTGTGCCCTCCCATGAAAATCATATGCCCTCTCTGTAGATTTGTTCTGGTGCCGGGTCTGGCTCCAGCCTATATGCTGTTACTCAGGGATTTCACTATAATTCTCTGTAGCTGTGGGGGTCCCAGATTCATTCCTGTGCTTTAATAACAGTGGGATTATCAAGATTCAACCAGCTTCTCTCCCTCTTGCCTCACATGACTCACAACTCCAACCAGCTTCATCCATACGTATATGTCTCAGTTTCTCTATTTCTTTATTTTCTCCTGAATATCTTGTACTTTGGATATTCTCTAGTGTATCCCAGGCAGTCTGAATTTTCTTCTTTTCTTTTGTCTTGTAGTCAATGTCCAGTTTCTAATACCTCTCTGCCCGCCTGTCTCTTCTAATTTTCTGGGGTCTATTTTGTTAGCTGTCTCTTCCCTTCTCACCCAGACTGTGATGGGTTGGGCCTGACTGTGACTGTTGCTAGATGCCTAGGGATGTGCACGTTTCTATGTGCATGTTGCATGCGTGTGGGGGTGGGTGGGTGCATGCACTGTGTATTGCAATGTGTCTGGCAGAAAGTTAGATGTTGTCTTATGTAAGCGGGTCTTGGCTGGGTAGAGCAGTTTAGCTCGGGGATGCAGGCTCAGGTGGAGAGACGGAGACCGATGCTATTTTTGGTATACTGCGCTCCTTACATCCTCCGAACGCATGAGTTATTCACTCACACGTGTCTCCTAGCTCTACCAGGATGAAAGGACAAAGGAAAAGTGGCGCTGTGCACATATCTGCAGGGACATTTCATCCCCATGTCTGTCAAGTACAGTACATTAAAATTGATAGTGGAAAAAAATGATATATTATTAAAAAAAATTATCATTAGCAGTCATCTACACCTATAAATAAATACATTTGATTTGCAAAAGGATTAATAGTTATTTAACATTATTGTGAATTTAAAAGCTTTAAAAAAAAAAATGTAATAGGCAAAATATAAATAAATATTGAATCAAGTGATGAAAAAAAAAGGTGGTTAATCTATAATGCAAATAATTCTTGCAGCCGTCACTCTGTCCCATTAGAGTATTTACATTTAGAAGAAATGTGTATTCTGAAAGGACTCTTGCGTTTTTTTATTTAGAACCTGGCTGGAACAAACTAAATTAATACCTGGTAGAAAGATGTTCAATCATTTTATTTAACTATAACGTTAGAGCTTTACATCTTTTCACAAACTGGGTTCATTCTTTTGTTTGTTATTTGCAAATAAGCTGCAAACAAAGATTTTTTCACCATAGATTGAACTAAACAAAGCAAAACTTAAAACATTTTTTTGAAAATAATAATTCACGTTGACTGGAACTATTCATGGCGCTCTCATATCTGTCTGTTCAATATGAAGCAAAAGCCAACTGCCAGTTAGCTTAGCTAACATGCTACTAGCAGGTTTTACATTTTTGTATCGAATTATAGATAATCAATAAAAAACATTTAATTATTAAGAACGGCAGTATAAGTTGATTATGCTTTTAATCGTTGGTTGTTAATGCCAGAACATAGTGACAAATGCCCATTACAGTTTCCAGAAGCCCAATGGGATTTCTTCAAATGTCTTGTTTTGTCCGACCAACCGTCATTCAAAGATCAAGTTTGCAACGTAATAAAACATAAAAAGCATTTTTGATGAGCAGTAGGCAGTGACTGTTTGTCTCTGGATGGTTTTTGTTGTCATACATGTTGTTGATTTTACCCAGATTAAGCCAGACTTCCATTTTTAGCACTAAAATTATGTCCTCTTGCTTTTAACCTCCACACAGCTGGGTGACATGTTCTCATTGTTTCTCTAATCTCTCTCTCTCTCTCCATTCATTCTATCTATATTTCAGAGCATGGCTCTGGCCTGGCTCCAGTCTAACCTGCCTTGTGCTAAGCAGACCAGTATCACCAGTATTGCCAGTATCAAGCATCAGCACGCTTCCAGTCAAGCTTGCTGAACCTGACCGTGCAGAGAGCCATGCTGTCGGGGTCTTGGCGGCGTTCTATGGGGCACCAGCAGCCCGCTGCAGCGCCTGTGGTGACCCCCAGGAGCATGACAGTGTGTGGGGTCACCAGCGGCACAGTGGTCCTCGAGGCTCAGTATGACTACAACTACCGCGCCGCTGATGGGCGGCAGGTCTGCATCAGGGAGGGGGAACGCTTCGTTCTCCTGAAAAAGACCAACACTGACTGGTGGCAGGTGAGAAAACCGTTAATGCGTTGTTTTGTCTTTTGTTGGTCGAACCTGATATTTTTTCATAAAACATGAACATAGTATCAACAGCCTTTTAAAGGTTTTCAAAGTAGGTTCCAGTGTTTGAGTTTGGATAAAGAGTGACACTTACAATATTTTTATTTTTTAAAGAAATATCATTGGAAGACCAGCAATGCAATACATCCCTAACTTGATTGTGGCTCTCAGCCCCAAGCCAATTTGTTGTTACTGACAAAAATAAACAATTATAATTATAACAGTCACAAACATATACTATAACTTTAACAAAAAGATCATTATTGTAATGAATAAACATGATATCTCAACACTGATTTTCTTTCAACAGTTTTAGACAGCATTTTAGAGGGAAAACCTATAATTAACTATGCATACAAAGAAAATACTATTTTTTAGGATTAGTTAACTGTTGATTTCAACCCTTTTTAGCAGATTGGTTGGCAATAAGAACAATATTCATTATTCAAAGACCTTAAACTGCTTTAAAAAGATTCAGGTAATTTAATGCATTTGCACCACAGTTTCTTTGGGTAACAATCTGAAAAAATCTGTCACTCAAGTACACAAACTCTTAAACAGAGGTGGACAATATGTATAAATTATTTTATCAAACATTGAAATTGAGAAATTATTGAATTATACCAACATCATTGCATACTTAACATGTTATGTGCATCATGTCATGTCAAAACACACATTAGCTATTAAAACCATGAAGTCTTGTTTGAAAAAAATGTTGTATTCCAAAAGAGAAGTTGTGGGTTTTCTGATGCAGCGGTTGGACGTCACAGGAACTGCAGCATCACACATTTCCACACAGCGTTCATGCATCAGCTGTGTTTGGAGATAATAAGAAGAGCATTTTGAAATAGTTTTTTTTCTTCGACAGGTGCGGAGGATTGGGGCGGCCAGTAAAACAAAGCCTCTGTATGTTCCCGCCACTTATGTAACCGAGGTGCCCATTGCACCGCTGCCATCGCCACGGCGCCGGGTTGTCTCTGACTCGCTAAACTCAAAACTCAGGATACTGCCACGGGTTTCACTCTCTCCTAGCCCAAAGGAAACAACCTATAATGAACAGCAACAAGGTAAATATAACTTCTATTATGTCTTTTTAAAGGTCACCTATTATGCAAAATCCACTTTTTCATGTCTTTTACACATAAACATGTGTCCCGTCTGTGTAAAGAGATCTGAAAGATTCAGGAAAAAATATTCACTTCACCCGTACTTTTCCCCTTTAGTTCCGTTAGTGCCAGTGCCGTTGCGTTCACACCAAAAAGTTCACTTGGTTCAGGGCACTTTTAGCCCCATGTTTAGTGCCTGCTAGAGAGGTGGTACTCTCCTGGGGGAAAAAAGTGCCCCAGTTCTGATTGGCTGGGCGAATTGCAAACCACGCCCCGTAAAACTCTGAAATGTTTTTTGAAGCCGCCATTGTATTTGCTGGCATTAGCATTATTAGCATTAGCATTAGCCCCGCGCACCAACGGAGAGAGAATAACTTATGGTAACACAAAATAAAACATGGGAGCGGTGGAGTGATGAGGAGGTGTCGGCGTTCTGGCGATTTACTCGGAAGGCTTCATAGAAGCTGCTGGGAGTCCCAGCAGCTTCTACTGAAGCCAGTCCCCAACTCCGGGGACTTCTGGCCGGGGACTTCTGGCCGGGGACTTCTGGCCGGGGACTTCCGGCCGGGGACTTTGGGTGGCAGTATACGCCATGAAGTTGTTTGCGGCCTGCCAGTAAACCCAAAGCAGAAGAAGAAGAAGAAGAAGTGACGTCAGCGGCTTCATTTGCGTAATCTTCCCTCAGGGAAGTAATCCGTTGTGAACGTGATCTGTACTCAGTCCCCCATGGGGCACTGAGTGCCCCACACTAGTACTGCAAAGTACGCGGTTTGAACGCGGCTATTGTGTTCTTTTTAACCAAATATCCCGCAGAGGGGCGTGGGGAGTAGCTCCTTATTTTCATCTAAAGTAACACACACAGAATCAGCACTTTGTGGAACAGGGTTGAAACAGAGGGGATTATGGGATGCTACAATGCACGATCTGTTTGGTATTTCGAGCCAAACACTTCAGAGACATGTTTTGTATATATCTGAGACCTATAATGTATTGATGAAAAAGAGTATGATAGGGGACCTTTAAGCTTAATTCTGTATTATATAGTAAAAATGTGTGTAATGATGTTTCTATTAAGTAAAGGAGGAAAATATCTCTTTATTTATTTTCACCTTCCTTCTTCAGCAAACAAACCCATTTTCCACTCCATGGAAAACCTGAACTCCTTCCAGGGTCAGGACAAGAACTCCAGCACGGGTGGAGGCCGCTTCCCCACGCTGCCCCTTTGGTCTGGTTTCACCTTTACCTCCAACTCTCCAGCCTCCCCGTCAGGACACCTCATGGTCCCTGTGTCCCCTGCAGTTTCCAACACACAACAGACAACATCGCCAAACCCCAGGGTGGTCCCCATGATCACTCGCAGCCAGAGCTCCAGCAACCTGCCTGAGAACGTGACGGAGAACCCGTACGATGAGGTGGGCGGTGGCTTCAGCAGTCGTGGCAACCACAAGATGCCAAAGAAGTCTTGTAGCCAGTGGGACATGGTGGGATCCTCTGGCAAGAACAACCATCTGCAGGTAGGAAAACCTACAACAGATTTAACCTAACATCTGGTTTACACAGCAGAGCTACACTTGTAAATCTGGGTGTTATTCTCATATTCAGTCAGTCTGTCTGACAACCTCACTGAAACCTAGTTTCCACTACTGTAAAGATATCGTAGTTTTAGAGGTTTAAGGCACTTGCTATTTTCATCTGACAGCCAGCAGTTACTCATTGGAAGATTTAAGAAGCCCAAACCAAACACATTGCTTTCTGTGATCCTAATTGGTATGAAGAAGACTGAAGTACATTTTGGAATATAGGTCAAACAAATCCTTCACATGTAGATGGTGTCTGAGGAAGTGTGGATTTACATTGATTTTGACTTCCTCTCATTCACAAAATCTCTAATCTGATGGATTTACTGGCCACTTTATGATGTCATAACGATTTTTTGGCTTGTGTAACTATTAGCCAATAACCAACCAAGTGACCCCCCCCCCCCCCCCCCCCCAGCTTATCGTGGGGAGTGGCTCCTTATTTTCATCTAAAGTAACAGACAGAGAATCAGCACTTTTGAAACAGGGCTGAAACAGAGGGGATTATGGGATGCTACAATGATCTGTTTGGTATTTGGAGCCAAACACTTCAGATACATGTTTTGTATATAACTGATAACTATAATATATTGATGAAAAATAGTATAATAGGGGACCTTTAAGATCATATCATAGTTATTGAGATATTTGTTCAAACTTCATTTAATTGGAGAAGCTTGTTCAGGTCGCAACAAATAACTCTGAACCCAATGAAATAAAATATGCTGTGTTATCCCCCCAGACGACTGTGGCAGCTGAGGTTGTATTTGATTTACGTCTGTTCTTGACCTCAATAATCCTCCTAGAGCAGCAATCAAGTTAGCATTGTGGTGACGTCGGAGCTTCCCTGTATTACATCAGAGAGGATTACACAAGGCGGCGTTGTTGTTGATAGAAATACTGAAGGTTATCTGTCTCTCTCAGAAGAGGAAAGCTCCCTCAGCCAAGTGTAGCATCCACTGAACCGTGCATGCACCCAGTTTGGGTAGCCGTGATCTCAGTGGAGAGGAAAGTGCTCTTTTTCAAATATTTTTTAATTCTCTTCCTCGCTGTCTGTTTCTGTATCTTCCTCCCCCTCCCCTCCTCTATTTGATCTGTCACCTCCGAAGACCCTCTTCAATCCTTTAATACCAGTAAGAAGGATAATTGTAGCCACATTCAGGTCATAACTCCCTGTTTTACGTTCACAAAACTCTCTCACCGTTCATTTTTGTGAGCCATTTGTTTTTTCAGTGCTGCCCCACTGAGGAGGAATTTCAATAAGTCATAGACAATTATTTACATAGTACAGTACAGCCAAAACTATGAGGACACCAGAACATTATGCCCATCTCATCTCAGTACACATGAAACAGCACTGACCAGTTAATAATTTGCTATTCTATAAATAAAGCTTATCTGTCATTTCATGGTAGAATCATGATGAGCTTGGAACTAACTTTAAATAAGCGCTTGATCAAAACTGTAATGAGGGTGTGAATACCAAAACTGAAGAAGTAGAGGTGGAAGAGGAAGTGCCAGAATATGTCAGTTTTGAAGATAGGAAATCATACACACACACACACACACACACACACACACACACACACACACACACACACACACACACACACACACACACACACACTCATAAAGAGATCCATATGTATCTCTAGTAGGTCTGACATTTTCCAGTGAAAGACAATGATCTTTTACTCTTGAAATCCAACTTTTTTAAGTTATACTTTTAAAAAAATGGCTGAATGTTAAAGTGCTTTGTATTTCCTATTTTGTAATCAGCCATGGCCCCACCTAACCTTGTTGTGAAACACTTGATTTGCTATCACCACTTGGGCAGGAAGCTTCAGGTGAGCTAAAGACCCAGTGCTGCCCCCTGGAGTAAACTACAGTACACACACACAATCACACACCATGTTCCCTCAGTCCCTATCTGAAACACCCATGTGTTATGTAACAGGTATCAACCAGCCAGCCAGTCAATCAGTTAGTGAATTATGTCTCAGCTATTGTTCCTGGAAAGATGATCTTCCATGCATATCTGTTAAATGAATTCTGTAGCTGTTGCGTTAGTACTCTGCATCTGGGTGAGCACATGCGTTTCTATAAGCTCTGGATTAATCCAACGTCTGACGGGTTATTCCATAGTACGAGGTGATGGGATTTATTTGTTCCTCTTGTTTATTCTATCTCAACACTGAGGTGATTTTAACGTCATGGCACTACTCTCTGCTAGATGTCATACTTTACAGTATGTGCCCCTGTTCTGAACACACAGATACATATTTGTTTCAATTAATTAAGTCAAGCAACATTTATTTGACTGTGTATATATATTATCTTCAGCATACAACACTGACTGTGCTTTCTATGCATATAGCATATTGTCCCATAAAGCTTATTTTGTGCAGAAATAAACACAGTCACAGATTTCCTTTGGAGACAAAGTCCCTTGTTACAATTAACACTTGGCAATGAAGTTTATTTTGCGCACCAACAAATGTACAATTTACCCTTGTTCAGGTATCTTGAGAGCCTGGCTGTTTTAAAAAAGTATGAACTTATTCTGACAAAATGAAGCTTTTGCTTGTGTCTTGTTTTAATATAACAAATATATCATACTTTCTTTATTCCCCTTTTCCCTCTTTACTGTTTCTGCCCATAAGGTCCCAACAGAGTCCTACATCTCCCAGATGTCCTGGCAGGACTCTCCTCTTTACTCTGACAATCAGCCAGAGAAACGTCTGTCGGTAGCGGAGCCCCCTACCCCTGCCCCAGGTGAGCAGCCCCTTCAGATCCTAGACCTGTGGGAGCAGTACTCAGACCAGCCCACAGGGAGATACTACTACATCAACACCATCACCAGGGAAAGGTCCTGGAAGCCCCCCCCGCCGGGCCCGTGGAGGCACCACCGGCAAGGTAAAGTGCCCAACACGGCAGGTGTTCATTCACACTTTATTACTCCTCCTTAATCCATCTTTTTTTTTGTCTTTTGCTCAAATTGCTTTAAATTTGAAAAGGTGTGCATTTTGAGAGCTTGATGAAAGCTTCTTTACTCAAAGGAGAGGATAGAAAAAGGTCAGGCTTTAGAATAGAAGAGTCTGCTCATTGATATGCTCACATAGTTTGACTGTATCAGCAAAAGAACTTCATACAACCTAAAGGAAAGTACCCTGGCTCGCATATCTTCTCTCTACTTAAACGTGAGGTGATGCATAGGGTTACACACACAGTGATCACAGGATTGTTTTCCACAGCTGGAAGTCTGAAGCACACTGGGGAGACTCATATATGAGTTTGATTGGCAGCCACTGTTTATATTGTCTCTTTGAAATGAGTCACATTGAACTCCTCAGTAAATTATTTGGAGATATGCTTATTTGGCTTCTTGCTGAGAGTTAGAAAGAAAGATTGATGCCACTAGCTGTCCGTTTAATGTACGACTTCAGCCTGGAAGATTATTTTAGCAAAACTGGCTCTGTTTAAAGCTAACGCTTACTTATTAACACATTACATCTTCTTTGTTTAAATCCATAATAAAAAGTGTAAAAAGGACAATTCACTGTCTTACAGGGTTTTTTCAGAAGTTGTTAGACAACCAACAGGGACCCCGGTTTTGTTAGCAGAAAGGGCTAGGCTAGTTGTTTCCCCTTTGTTTTTTAATCTTTGTGCTAAGCTTAGTTCTCTGGCTGCCGGCTGTATCTGCACATTTTACAGAAAGATCTGTGAGTGATTTTGATCTTTCTGTCTTACTTTCTGCAAAAAGGTGCATTAGTGTTCAAAAATATGGTGTAATTAGACATATTCTTTTTTTACTAATTGTTGTTTTTTTATTTCCTTTCTGTGGCAGGCCTGTTCAGAACAACCTCAGACGTTACCCAGAGAAACCAGCCATCTGTCCCTTCCACTTCCTGGAGCTGGTAATGGAACAGTGCACAGGGTAAGACTGCTGTAATTCCTAACAAGTGATCAAGTTCAGCCTCCCTCATGACAATTAGGCAATTTGTATAAATGTGGAATTACATCACCTGAACTGATAATTGGAACATCTTCCATGCTGCTAAAAGCGTTATAAGTTTTGGGATGATAACATAAGAATAAGGTTTGCTGTGTGTGTGGTGACGCAATGAAAAGGAGCAGTTAAACTTGCAGAGTGACAACACATGACTTAAAGGGGAAAACCCTTGCTCTGTTACTCTGGCTGATACCTCCACGCTCACCTGTAACCAAACACAGGAAGCAACAAGAGCACACCCAACCAAAGTATTTTCTTGACTTAGGAATGTTGTCTGGTTACCTTGTTCTGTCTTTCGTGCTTTACCTCTGTGCTGTCGAGCACTTTGAATCACCTGTGTTGTTTTGAAAGGCTCAGATTATTCATTTCATAATTAATTAATGCAATTGCTAATTCAAGTGTTCAAATATATGGAAATCTGCCCACATATTTAGCATTGTACTTCAGCTTTTATTCAATGATCCTTGTCACAGGGAAGTCTGTACTGTGAGTTGGTGAGAAATGTGTGCCAAGTCGGGGATTAGTCCAAGTTGGTTGGTTTAGTTATGTTTTTTACCCATCTTTGTTGGTTCTTCAGAAGTGTCAGGAGGCTTTTATAATCTTGATGTATAGCTCAGTTTTATATAATGGTTTCTATGAAGCTGTGGCCACTGTCAAATATAACAGACAGAACAAACCAAAGTGAGACAAATATCCAGTACCAGGATATTTTTATACATTTTAATTTATGTACCCATAGCGCACATTGTGCCCTGACCTGATTTGTGTTTGAGATTAAAGGAGGGGGAAATACAGAACAGGGACAAATAAAAAAAGCATGACATCTTTCTAGTCACTCCATCGATGAATGACCCCATCTATGCCATCTTTCTTTTTGTATTTATTATCTGCCCCTGACGCACATACTTGCTCTGAAATAGTGTTTTTGTTGGGCTAATCCCTGATGGGAGCCACAAAGTATTGCCCTTTGATCTGATTCAGAAGCCATTAGGCAACACAGAGGAAACAGAGGATTATTTTTTAAATGCGAAATGTTACAAACATTGCTAAATTTAAACCACTCAATGAAACTCCTCATCAGCTTTAAACCCCTCCCTGACCCCGCAATGCCATCACAGTCAGATTCCCACTGTTTCATTTATTTCACCCTTCTTTTTTGTCGCAAACTTGGTTTTACAATGGTGTCTCTAATCTCCGAGGAGGAAGTACATCTGTTGTTTAGAGCGTAAGTGTTTTGGGAAATAATGCAACAGCCATGAGTGACTTTAATTAACCTGGATCAATGACGACATCTTCATAGTAAGACGACGCAAGCTGCATGATCCAGATTGTCAGAGATAAGCATTTTGCATCTCAAAGTTGCGTTGCCTCAATGTTGCGTCAGTGTTTCAAATGTAATGTTGCTCATCAAAAAAATACCCACATGATCAAAGCAGAGATTCCCCTATCAAGACGTTTGAGATGCTTTCTGTTGACCTATATGTGTCACTTTTTATTCTGTGGTACATGAATTAAACAGGAACTCCACCGATGATATATAATGCATACTGCATAGCACACAAAGGTGATCAATCTGAGTGACGCATAGTTGAGATTTGATTTAAAAATAAATGTTTTTAACCTTTACCATGTTGACCTCTTCCTGTACTTTTAAAGCTCAGCTACCGTGCTTACAGTATATAGCAATTTATTTTACTTGTACATTATTTTACTTTTTTTGTTAAATTATTTTGTTTGTACTACTCAACATACTTTGTATTTTTATTTAAACGTAGAGATTAAATTATTAGACAATAATTGTTAACGTCAATCATCAGAACAATTATTTTGCATTTTAAAGCAAAACAAGTCCACTATATTCAGGTTACAGCTCCTCAAAAGTGAGGATTTGCTGTTATTCTGTTCATTCTCTGTATGTAAGTTAGGTAGGTTAAAATACCTCTTCATCAACACCACTAATGAGGTTGTAGGTACGTTTTTTTTATTTGTAGAATTATTTAAGTCTAATTTCATTATATAAAAGAAAATATTGTCACAATAACTTTTCATACAGTGCATAATAATTCTGAATAAGTAGATTTTCTATGTTTTATTTGAGTAGAATTGGTTGAGTTTGCTTTTTGCACTTCTGCTATCTGGAATGGCAGAAGCTCGGGGTTTCTAACTAATACATTTTAGTAGTCTATTTTAACTTTCCTGCTCAAAGTTTTCACACCCTCAGCAAGTGTTATTAACGTGTTAACACCAAGTCATGTTGGTTGGAGGTGTGTCTTGTGGAGCCGTAGCTAGTAGTTTGTTGGTTATTATAACAATGAATACTTAAAATGATCCTCACACCAATTAGTTTGGATTTGAATTTCCTCATAAAAACTTTTTTTTTTTACGAAATCAGAATTTGTATTAGTCTTAAATGATCATAATATTATTTAATCTTTCCACACATTCCAGTAATTATCATCCAAATGCATATAAAGTGTTATTATTTAATGTGAGTGCTTTTATGTTTGGTACATTTGTTGCACAATACCAAAGTGTAACAACAAAGGTCAATCTAAACTTTTAAAGGACTATGTCAATGTTATAGTACTTTTAATGAAGTAAAGCATTCCCATTGTATTGCCTATGAACTCACAAACAAAAGCAGTTGGACAGTGGTTAGTGTTGCAATGTTCTGCTGTGTTTATTCTGAGCTGTTTTACATGAGAGTGATTGTACCGGCTGATAAAGCGAGCTTCCCTCTAGAATGGGGAAGTAGACGCACGGTGAGACAGGAGGGACAGATGAATGTTTTTGACACTTTGACACTCTGACGAAAAAGTGTCATGACATTTAACAACAGCGAGTGAGGACTCAAACTCGACAGGAAAAACAGCTCTCAGAAACACGAATTGGCCTGGATTGTAAAACTGTTGTTCGGTCATAATGAGCACATCGGCTGTAAGTTCATATTCTTTTCTTAAACCAAATGTTTGACTTAGTTGTGCTGTTGTTTAGTCATTATTTGTGTTGAGTTTTTTGCATCACATGTTAAATATCCTGCTTTTTAATTTGATCTGAATATATTTCATGTGGTGTTTAAGCTAATAATTCACTCACTTGAATTTACAATGTCACAGATTTTGCTTATGATTTTGACTTTTCTTATAACAAGCTATTAATGTGGAAGCGTGGGATCAAGTTCAATAACGAAAAACCAGCATGCCTGAGTCAAACAAGTAAAACGCAACGTGTGTTTCAGTCTCACTGAGCAACGGCAGCGGCGGCTTCTCCTTAACTTCAGTTGTATTCTGGCACGAGTGTGTGCATGACTTTGTGTGTGGTGATGTGTAAAAGAGCAATTTTATCTGGCAGGATGTGAGGGGCGCTGAGGTGTAGTTTCTGTGTTGGTCTGTCAGCCTGGTCTTCATGACTTATCTTAACTGACTACATTTTTCGACATCCTGTTTTTAAAAAGAGGTTCAACATATATAAAAAACGTATTATTATTTATTTATTTTTATATATATATACATATGTATGTTCTTTTTTTAAATTTGAATTATTATTAATAAATATTAAAATGGTGCAATTTTTGATCAAATCTTTGTTGCACTAATATCGACAAATGTAGACACAAAAGCCTGAAATTCATTATTGGTGCCAGTAAAATAAACAGAAGTCCAAGTTGTGCTTCAAATTAAATTAAATATAAATAATTACTGATCACTTGTGTTTCCTGTCTTTGTCTTTCTGTCTCTTTGTTTTCTCATTCCTTCTAGCTGTCACCTGATTTAGTCTACGGGAGCCACCAGAGGAATGCTGACGGTGGCTGGCAGATGAAACAGGTGAAACAAGTCTCTTCCTGCTGCTCTCTTTTAATGCCAGAGGGCTAATGCATTTCACCTTGGGTTTCATCTTGTAAAAATCAACCATCAAAAAGTGAAGTAAAACATAAACCGTATTATCAGTTTAACATATTCTCCTTACAGTACTGGATGCATTTGCTTAACAAAACAGGACACCACACAGCTCTGGTACCTTACAGTATGTCAAGAAAGAATCCTGCTACATGTTTGCACAGCACCAGCAGAATCATTAAATATTTGTCTGTACATAAGTATCTATAGATTACTAAGACTTCCTATTCTTCTTCTTCTTTTAAAATCTGAAAACTCTTTCCTTGTTACTTGTGTTGCATGCCTGACTGGGAGGGTAATCCGTGTTTTATAAGTGCTTAAAGGGCTTTTGATGATGGAGGGTATGTTCCTCATGAAAATCAATGAAATTGTCGAGTTGTTAGATTTGCAAAAACTGCATATCCACTGTATCGCTGTAGAATACATTAAAGCAATGCTTTTTACATTCTCACAGTTCAGCATTTATGCATATTAAGGTGGGAAAATAGCAACTCATGGTGTGAAAAGAAAGGCTGTTACCCAAGCAGTTCTTACTGCAACATGTTGCATCACAGAGGGGTGTGGGTGCGCTTGGTTGTAAAGCCCTTTTAACTGCCTCTTCTTAGCAAAGGAGCAGATTTGGCTCTTAGTGCTAATCCTCCTTGCATGAAAATAGGGATATTAAGTCTGATTGTTGAAACTAGGTTACAGGGATTGGGAAAGGTACTTAAATGTGGCTGCTGCTGCTGAATGTAGAGTTGAAGTCACTGCATGTGAGCAATCACGATCACCTGTATCTGTACACGTGTGGAATTACTGGCATACATATTTTGTGTGTAGAGTAAAGATGTACATTCTGTACATGTGCCTGCTGCTCTGAGGAAGTGAATAAACTAATTTCAACTTCCCATGGAAGCTGCAGTTTGTCCTCATTTGTCAGTTTGTAAAGTGCTCAGGAAATTGTCTCATCAGTCTCAGAGGGCAGGAATGCTTCAGGTCGTACTTGAATGAAGTAAGGTTTATGCATTGTTTTCATTCCCCAAAGTGGATTTTTTTAATACTTGCAGATTTATTCAGAATTGATCCAACATGGCACAAGGTTTCATAATGTTTGCCAATGTATGCTACCTCCTGAGAGAACTGAGTGCAGAGCGAGATAAGTGAACCTGTTTAAGTACAGATGTGGAGGCAGTTTGAGGTGGGGTGACATTTAAGCCCACGCAAGAATGATCTGTGTCAGACTGTGGCACTTTCTAATCTTATTCAGAACTTTCCAGTCCATTAGTCAGAAAAACAGAGCTGAATAGAGAAAGACTGTACATCCACTAAAACTGAAAATGTATTAATGAGTAAAAAGTCCAGCCAGTGGGAAAAGGTCCTCCTTTTATGTATAACATGACCTGAAAAGTTGGAACAGCAGATGGGAATAAACATCAGCAGTTAGAAAAAATTGCTGTTTGAGGTTTCAATACTATTTTACTCTATACTGCTACACTAGGGGAAACTAGTATTGTTCTTCTTCATTGCAGATATGATTAGGTTTTGAATGCTTGTTTGCATGAACTGCATGCTTAATTTGGGGAAAAGCCCTAACCTTTTTGTTGCTCCTTACTGTTGCTTGTTTGTGATTTTAATTGGTTGCTTTCGGCAAAACAATCTAAATACTTAAATATGCAACAAATATAATAACAAAAAAAGGTTATTCCATAGTCTCAGTGAAGTCATTCCAAAGAAAGCAAACAAGTATCAGCTCTCACAAGATCCACATACATCAGTGGCAGCATATTGTATTTCATTTTCCATTCACGCACAATAACTTAGTGATTACCCTTTCCCTTGTTCCCCCCAACCCAAAAATATGCCCCCCACCTTTAACCCCTGTGAAGAGCATGCAGCACGCCGTCTCCTCTGCCACCCTGAGCACCATGTCGTTCACTGATGCCCAGTGCCATAACTCTGCCGCCCTGCATGATGCCAAGCCGCAGCTCAGCCACTCCCAATCTATGATCCTGCCTGAGAACGGCAAGGTACTCGCCTTTAGAGCACAAACAAACAAAGTCATACATTTGGTGTTCAGTATTCACAGACATGCAGAGGGAAATGCAGATGTTTATCAGTTTCACACAAAACACTGGACATGTACACATGCAGAGGATTGAAGCAGCTGATGATGCCTACTTCCTGTTTTTCAGCTGATCCATCAATGCAGAGATTACTCCTGTAATGTGACCAACATCATCGTGGAGCCTCCGTCTCCTGAGAGCTCTCCAGACAGCGATGGCGGCACACCGGTGAGAAAAACATTGCTTTTATCTTCTGGAATGAAAATACCAAACATCAGTAGTATATTTAATATTTTTGTTAATACTTACCTCAACTTTGAACCTACCCCTTTTCTGCAAACTCTCCTCACAGTAATTCTGAGTAGAACAATACAATCAGCCTTTTGTTAATTATCTTGGCAGTAAAAACACAGCTACAAAAACAAGGCAGTGACCATCAGGCTCAGGTAGCTCTGGCTTTCTACTGAAGTTCTAGGACTTTAGCTTCGTGTGAAAAAGCTAAATCATTGACATTTTCTCACCAGTTCTGTTTCATCAAGAGATAAACACAGATTTTGTAAATGCAGTCCTGACAGAAGCGTATTTCTCCTGAAATGGTGATAGGCCAAGAGAATTGTGGTAAACATATTGTCATCGGAATCTTTTCATCTGTTGTGTAGAGTCAGTGATTAAAGGGCAACTCACTATTAGCATTAAAAACACACATCCCAAGTATCCCTTGGAGTAGAATAGTAAAGCAAATGGTTTTGGTTTTATTTGCAGGTATTTCATTTTGAAAAATACTTTGAAATAAATAGAAAAAATGTCTATCTTAGGTCTATTTATCCTGAATTGTATCTGGCAAAACAAGTTGCAATTGTTTTATACATTTTGATTTTTCAATTCTCTTTTCTTTAGTTTTCTCTTTAAAAGGCACATTTTTTCCTCAGTTTGTTATTCACTGCCTCCATATACTGTACTGTACTGTACTCCATACGGATGGTTGAATAGATAGTTCGTATAAATACGTTTCTCTTAGAACTTAAACGGGGCCATAGCGCAGTGGGAGATTCAGCAGCTCCCCTCCTGCTATTTTTTTGAATGATGCAACATTCAAGTTAAATGGGTTTTCTCAGGATGCAGTGTATCACACAGAGGAAAAGCCCTCTGCTGTACTTTACCGTTACCTTTTATTAATCAAGCCAATTTTTTTGCCTGCCGTGAGTGATGACATTAGTGTGACGTTATGAATAACACTGCTTGAGTTTAGCTCTTGTGCGTTAAGCTCTTTTAATGTGTCATCAGGAGTTGGAGAAAGCTGGCCTCCTAAACAAGACAAAGATTGCAGAAGGAGGCCGGAAACTGAGGTGAGCCTGCTCCCATTGAAGACAAAAAAGGTTGCATCTATTTGTATGAATAATGTTTAAATAAATGAAGGCAAATATAAGTTGCTGCGCTGATCAGATGAGTATTATTGGGGTATTTGTGTTGCAGGAAAAATTGGAGCCCCTCCTGGGTTGTGTTGGTCGGGAACAGCTTGGTTTTCTTCAAAGATCCTAAATCACAGACACCTTCCAGCTGGGTAAGAGCTCAGATAAACTGTGTGTCTCAAGCTTTTATCCAAGGTTTAGGTTTTTTTTACACATTTCATTGTATAAACAATCAATTCATGTTTATTTCCCAGTATATTAAAAGTAACGTGGGTGAAAAATCATTCCATGAAGCTAATTTCTTTATTTAACAATCCTTAGCCAAGTCTTGTGACTTATTGCACAAGTTGTCATTTTAGATTTAAACATTTGAAGTCAGTAGCTTTTGACAAACCCAAAAAAAGAGCGCTTTGTCGACTGTGTTGCTTGTGTTCTATGAATCTGTTTTCATTCATGGCTCCTTGCTGTGAAATGACACACATTCAGTCCTGTGTTCACAAAACAGGTCCAACGTATCTGTTGCAGGTGTTGTGTTCAAAAGTTGCTCTTAATGTTAGAGTTCTGTGCAGGAAATTAAAACACCCAAACTCAGTTTTTAGAAACATGTGTGAGTCAATCTGACCAACTAATAGAAGAAAACATGTTTTGTGTTTGTATGTGCCTGTAAATTGATCAACAGAAACCAGGGAACAGTCGCCCTGAAAGCAGTGTGGATTTGAGAGGAGCACAGCTGCACTGGGCCAACAACCTGTCCAGCAAGAAGAATGTCTTCAAGGTAAAAAATAAGTGGATTAATTTTCAGGAAATTCAGTGAAAAGATCTCCAGATATAATTTGATCTTCCTCAAACGTTCTGTAAGAAACTCTCATGTGTAATTAATCTGTTTTTATCAAATAACTGTAAACACAATTGTTGCTGTGGCCTGGTATAAAGTGAGGACAGTGTGAGCAAGTAGTAAAACATAAAGTCATATTTCTGTCAGCAGAGGAAGTGAGAGTGGGGAGTTTTTTCTTTGCATTTAGCCTCAGTAAAGAAGAAGAAGCTGTAATAATACATTTTCCAATTAATTGTGGCGTGTACGTCTTGAACTATCTTTGAAATCAAGACAATAGAGATTGACACATGACAGCTGACTAACTCGTTGGATAAAAAGTGTAAACAAATAAATATATATATATTTATATATATATATATATATATATATAAATGTATATTATAAATCATCGTTGGGGAGCTGTATGGATATGTGTGTCACACATTAATACATTGTACTGTAAATGTGTGTATGTGTGTTGTAGCTGAGGACAGTGACGGGCAATGAGTTCCTGCTGCAGTCAGAGACAGACTCGCTGATCATAGAGTGGTACAAAACCATCCAGAGCGTCATCGACAGGCTGGTGAGACACACGCACACGCACACGCACACGCACACGCACACAGAGATAACCTTTTATTGTGCCACTTCTCTATTAGTGGTCAAATGGTTTTCATTTGAAGGATAATAGTGTCATACCATTAGTATATAAATGTTAGGACTGCACAGTGCACACACATCCTTTAACAACTTCCTGTATTATTCTTTGTCTTCTTTTCTCTATTTTTCTTTAAGATCAGATTTAAGAATATTAGCCTCCATCTACAAACAAATCATTTAGTTTTCCTTTTGACAGATGACAGCTATCTTTCTTTTTAATGGGTTTTAAAGGTCCCATGACATGGCCATTTCTACTGATCATAATTCCATTGTTGAGGTCTACTAGAATAGATTTACATTGTTCAATGTTCCAAAATCACATTGGTTTCTCATACAGCATCTCTGTATAGTATGTGTATTCACTCTCTGTCCTACACGCCTTGTTGGAGCTCCTGCCCCCCCCTCTCCCTATGAGCCCACTGTGCTCTGATTGGTCAGCTCGCCCACTCTGTTACAGCGGAACATCAGTGATTACTGTATGTGTTACAATGGCGTTAGCAACCAGAAAATGACACCAGTAATGACAAACAGATGAGAATGCTGCGTGGGGTCTGGGTGCCGTGTTGGCGGGACCTTGCGGGGCTCACTGCTGCGCGAGGAGCGGACAGTGTGAGCTGGGTTACTGGGGTCGTTTCCTGGTTGCTGCGTGGGGTCTGCGAGACAGCGAGACACCGCAAAACTCAGCCTGAACTCAGCCTGAGCACACACACAAACTCACAGCTGGCTGAGTCTCAGGCGGAGAAATCCATGGAGCCGCAGCTGAGAAAAGATAAGGCTGAGTGTGTGTGTGTGAGGAGCTCCACGGATTGGTCCATTCGGACCTGGGCATGGTTACGTCACCATACTCAGGAAGAAAAAGAGAAATCTCCAACGAGGCGTTCTGGGGCAGCATAGACAGGTCATTTCTGTGTTAGAGTTTTACTCGCTACAGGGTGTACTTTGAGGGTTTGTGACTCTGCAGACCGTTTACATGCATAAAAAGCTACATAACACACAAGGGGACGGGTAATAACCGGAAAAGCATGACATGGGACCTTTAAGGTCTGTGTGTAAATGTTATTATTACATTATGTAGGTGTGTCCAAAGCAATTTATAATAAGTGCAGTCAACCATGAGGAAACAAATTCTCAACAGCAAGAATCCAGCAAATTAGCTTTTAAAAAAGCCAATCTACATTAAGCGCTTCAAAAAAACCTTTAAAATAAATATTTAAAATGCTTAATAGACTTCTGAGATTCTCTTTAAAAATATGATTCAAACAGTACTTTTTTGTATGTGAGTAACTTAACCCAACGAGCACTATTTCACTTTGCCTGCCTTCCAGGACCGTGAGAACCCGTTGGACAACGTGCTGCTGTACTCCCTGAGGCGGGCAGGCAGCGTGGATATGCTGGAGCAGAGTGGAGACGAGGACGACAGGAGGACCACGCGTAAGTCCCCCCCCCCCCCCCCCCCCCCGAAGCCTCTCATCGCTCCACTCTGACTTCCTTCCTCCACATAACACCGTCCACTCACTCCACCTCAGTTTACTCTCATTCCATCATCATCACTTTTTTTGTTCTAAACTTCCACACAGGCTTCTTACATCCTTCCATCTTCTCCTCCATCCAGCCCACTTATATCTTCACACAGCCTCCATGGCAAATAATCCCCCCGTCAGTCCTGTCTCACCTTCGCCGCCACCCGGCCCTCCCACTCTTCATCCTCACCACCATCCCCTCTCATCTGCTCTCCTGCCCCCCTCATCGACCCGCACTGACCTCCTCTTCTTCCTTCTCTTCCTGCTCCTCCTCCTCCACCTTTCCCACCTTTGCAGTCCCTCGCTCGTCGTCCAACCTGGAGAACACGGAGAGGAAGAGAGTGAAGACCCGGCTGAAGAAGCTGATCCTAAAGAGACCCCCTCTGCAGGCGCTACAGGAGAAAGGCCTCATTAAAGGTAACATTTCATACGTTTGTTATTTGTAATGCTAGTATCCTTTAGTCAGCAGTACGCAGCGTTAAATAAACCAAGACTTTTACAAATACATTTTCCACTGGTCTTTTGTTGTGAAGTTGAACATGTTTTGCTGCTTAACTGAGCTGCATCAAAGTTGGCTGGCTGGAAATCTCATTCTGCAATGATGCCATATCCCAGAGTGAATACGCATCGCAATCCGCTTGCCTGTTTAGTAACAGCTTCTCCAAAAGGAAATGATTTCACACTGCCTGTCTGATGATTACAACACTATTATAACATTACATTTATTCAGCAGAGGCTTTAATCCAAAATGACTTACATTGTGCAATCAACCATAGGAGAACAAAACTAGCTATGGTTTGTTCTCAAAAGTTGAGGCGATCATTTGGGTTATTTTTTAAGTTCTTTGGGGTTTCCTGATAATATTTTAAACCCTTTTTTTGTAGTGCAGTGAAGTATTCTTTCTGGCATTTTATTTTTGCGTTTATGTGACAGGGGGACAGAAAGAGAGGAGGGAATCCAGGGCAGCAAAGGTACCCAACAAAACTGTCGCCAGATATAGCCAGTGATCTCAAGGCCAGCAGCTCCTCATAATAAAAAAAATAACAGTTCAGGATTGAAAGCTACACATCACACAAAGCTTCGACATAATGCCAACATGATATGTAATCTCAACAACATCCTCTTCCACTAGGAGGCGTTATGTGATTTCCTGCATGTCATTCAAACTGAAGAAGCCTCTTAAATGAATGGAAGTGACAGTACATTTATAAAATAATGACTACTCCTACTCCCTTCTAGTGCCAAAGTGGTGTTTAATGTTGTTAAACTGATTGATTTAATCAGATTATACCAAGCAAGTTTTTCAAAGTCTGATCATATGGCATTAAAACCAGTTTGGTACCAAACTCTGAAGTAAAGTGTTGCGTATGCTGGGGTTTTTCCACCCTACTGTATACTGTATATATAGTAGGCCTACAGTACGTGAGCTGCATTGCATCATCAAAGGTGAGCTTATATCGCTCCTGGGAACATGGGGGTTTTATTCCATAGTGAACAGTGAATTTATCCTTAGATTAACTTGAGCCTGTAGCTCTTACATCATGTCTCGGCACAGTTTTTTGAGAAAGAAAGTAACTTTTGGAAAGACATAAAAAGTGTGTTTGTGTCCGTCTGCCATCACCCTTCAGATCAGGTGTTTGGCTGTCGTCTGGAGATGCTCTGTGAGAGAGAGAAGAGCACCGTCCCTCGCTTCGTCAGACTTTGTACTGAAGCTGTGGAGAAGAGAGGTACAAACACTGCAAACACACAGCCAGCTCCTGCTAATGTGAAGCTCAACTTAGAGGGGGACGCAAGAGGAAACACTCCTTTATTCTGTTTTGAGCACTAGTCACATAAAAGCATTTGTGCACCTTATTGTTCAGCTCCTTGACATCAATCACTTAGCAAACATTTACTGACATTTTTGTTGTGATTGCCTGACAGAGTTAAAAGAAGCACAGAAACAAAGTTCTGACAGCTGCCAACCGAAGATAGAGATATAATAAGAGACAATGGAGTTGTTTGGGAACTGTGTGGAAACAGTACTTTTAAATTAATATTTCATACACATCAAAACAACTTTATTCTGAGTATTGTTTTTAAAAACTTGGTTATAATGAATTGAATATTTTCAAGGAGCACTTTTGGTCTAAGACATTTATACTCAAGGATGTGACGGAAAGTCAGAAAATGCCTCTTGCATTTACCCAGTGTTTTACAGTATAACATTAACCTCAACTGAACACGAAGAAAATCTGAATATGTAGACATTTTACAAGCTGCAACTTGTCTTTTTTTCTATGGATAAAAAAACTGATGTTGATTCATGTTTTTGTCAACTAAGTATGTGAGTCACTTTAGCTCCTAGAGAGATTATAAAACGCTGGCAACACATTTTAATCTAAAGTGAAATAAAATGAAGTTAATGTGACCAATGATCAATAAAAGACCAATCTAGGCTAGATTTCTTTACCACTTTGATAGAAAGAAAGAATAGAAAATATCAATTGAGGATGTTAATAATTAATTGTTTACACTGCCTGACCTGATCTACAACATCAAACCAGTGTGGAAAAATAATCATGTCATCATATAACTCAACGATATATATATTTAGATGTGTCGAAACTTGCTTTTGCTTGACTTTATTCAAACACTTTTGGAAAGTTAGGCAACAAAACAAACTTCCCAGGCTTGCTAAATAATGGATGTGCAGAAGCAAAAACAATTATATCATCTCTGACTGCCTCGAGAAATGTGTCACTTTGACCAGTGACCTCACCAGCTATTTGCGTAATTTGACAGGACTGGACACTGATGGCATCTACAGAGTCTCAGGGAACCTGGCAGTGATCCAGAAACTACGCTTCCTGGTGGACCACGGTGAGGATGAAGGGGAGGAGGGGATTAACTGAACTATGTCTATAATTAATGCTGATTAATTTAATCTCGGACCATGAATGAAACCTGCTAGGGAAATGTTGGGGGGGAAGAGAAGTGGTGCCAGGTAGATGTCAAAGAGAGAGAAACATCGACATTAAAGAAACTCAAGTTGTTTGGAAACTGTCTGGGAAAAATGCTTCAAATATTTCATACACACAAAAACAATCTTTCTTTTGACCACAAGGTTTGATAAAAACTAGTTTTGGTGAATTGAATGTCTTTAGGGAGCAGTTCTGAAAAGACATTTAAAAGAAAGACTCAAAAACGTTTAGCTAACGAGAGAGAGAAAATGATATGAAATATTTTGATAATTCGATAAGTTATTTTGATTCATTTAATCTCTGACCATGAATGAAACCTGTGAATGAAATGCTGGGGACAGAGAGAAGTGGCAGAGTTTACAATTGGACATCAGAAAGCATTACATTTGAACCCTTCCTATTTTTTCAGAATGCTTTCTGATGCTGTTTTGTATATTCTACATTTGCACACACCTGCTTGAATCCTGATTGTCTCACTCCCACTACATTTGGTGGACGCCGAGGAAAGCCCTTTGAGTAACTGTTGGTTTTTGCAGAGCGAGCGGTGACTACAGACGGCCGTTACATGTTCCCGGCAGAGTTTGTACAAGGTAGATTCAGATTTACGAGGGGAAAACGGCTGCTTGAACGTGTCACTCGGCCTGCTTATATTTGTGCATCATTTGTTGCATAATGTGAACACCTCAGTCAGAAACTCCCCACACGCAGGGCTGATCTGCGGCACAGACGTGCTCAGTACAGTTTGCTGCTTGTGCTACCATTTGCTTAATGTATGTGTGTCCCTTAGGCTTTTCTGCTTCAAGTTTTCTGATGTAATAACAGGCGGCAGGTTGTACAGCGACGCCTCGCACGGCACATGGCTGCCACCAAGTGGAGGAAACAGAGAATCAGCTGCAGCTCACACACTGTGAAGTGCTCTATAATCCCACAGCAGCATCTCCCTGACCAACGCTTCTCATCATTAGATTCGTATTTGTATCATAAAGAACTTCAATCAAAGCCTTTTATTGTTTTCCCTTTGGTTTTATGATCCAATTTGAGAAGCATTGGTCAGGCCTGGATTTTAAGAAAATGTTTGCTTTACATGTGTTTGTGCTTCTCTGACGAGCTTTTCTATCTCCATCCTGCAGCTACAAACCTTCGTGTTACGCCTCAATCCGACATGAATTCACACTTTAATTATGTTGTTAGCTTAACAATGATGTCACTTTAACTCCACTTCTTTTTCTCATTAACTCACTCTAACCCGTTGTCTCTCTTTTTCACATTGTCTTCACTTTTTCTGACAATGTCTGTTTGAATGTCTCCCCCCTCCTCCCTCCCTGTCCCTCAGAAGAGAAGCTGAATTTGGACCAGAGTGACTGGGAGGACATTCATGTCATCACGGGAGCTTTGAAACTTTTCTTTCGCGAGCTTCCCGAGCCCCTCGTGCCCTTCGGCTTCTTCACCGACATCGTGGAGACAGTCAGTGAGTGACCCGCCTCAGCCCCAGTTCATTTTATTTCTGCTGTACACATCCCCCATTAATGTCAAGAATAATAAAGAATGGCACTCATCTTTGATTAATCTAACCTTAATGCTTTTTTAATGGATAGGTTTTTTTCGGGATATTTAGGACTTTTTTTTATTTTGTGTAGTAGAAATTTGACAGTAAATGAGGAGAACTAGAGAATTAGGATTAGTGAAAGTATTTTTTTTTAATGTATTTTATTTATTTAAGAAAAGGAAATGCACATTAATTAACACGAGCACTTGCGTCCATCCAGTCCCTAGTCATATTCAAAGTGAGGTTGTTCAAATTACATGATCAGCGTCTTTTAACCTCGTATTGGATAATTTATAATCTCACTTTGTTATTTTTCCTTTGCTGTGCTTTTATTCTGAATCCTTGCAACAATACTATGGTTTTAATGAGTCAAAACCAGGACAGTCTGTGTGAGAGAGTTCACCCCCTCTTTTCTTGGATGCTTTCACACTTTCTCAAGCTGCGGTGAAAGTCATTTTCTTCAATATAGAATACACTGAATTTACAGCACGTTTGTCCACATCTAGGAAACACTGCAAAACACCACATGGATCATGAAAGATAAATGGACACGGTTAAATCAAATGTTTTTTTCCAAAAAAGAAAATTGCATGAGTTCCAAGGAGAGGGAGGAATAATTACATACTGACAAAAGATAAATTTATTGAGCAGTGTTTAACCCAAATGAAGTTATGGTTTTACTGCAACAACAAAAAATCCTCACGTTAGCTGCGTTTTGTCGTACTCCAATTATCCTCAACTCCCGCTTATATTTTTCTTCTTGTTAACAAATGTCCCGAACACACAAAAAACAACAATGTGTTTTTTCATCTTTATTTGCTTTACAACTTCCTTTTTGTTTGTGGCCGTCCATTCTGATGTAAACCTCTAAAACGGTCCATAAATATATAGTCACATTTTTGAAAAGGCCAAATATATTCTTTAAACATTAGGTTAACGAAAATGTAACTCAAAAATAGAGTGTAGTGATTTTTGGGGGACTATTTTCAGCTGCAGATTAAAACACTAGTGCTCCAGTGAGTACTATACAGTAGCATCATGATAAAGTAAAATGTCATTCAGTGCAACTTAATAATGTATTTAATAGTTTAAACAACAATGTAGGCCTATTACATTCAAGAATAAACCAAATCAGGCAAACATAGTCTAGTTAGTATAATTTTACTGATCACAGTTTTAATCTTTTCATGGTATTAAAAAAAATAGTTTGACGTTACAGAAATGTATCGGAATGTATTTGACTTATCATAAAACAGTAGATAGCATTTCCAAATTAATTAAATTCAGTGATAAACTTGCATATTAATGAGAATGATAACTACATGCTGTTATATCAGATTAGATAATTGTTGATAAAGTACATGTGATATCAGTAAGCGAATGTACATTTGGTTTCCGCTGCTCATGAAGTTCATGAAGTGGAATGCAAATGATGACATTGACTGTGATCTTGCTCTGTGTTGCAGAGATGTCGGACTACATGGACAAAGTGGATCGTTTGAAGTGTCTGGTGCTCAACATGCCTCCTTCTAACCATGACACGCTGCAGTTCATATGTCGCCATCTCCAGCGGTGAGAGGCCGGGAACAAAAAACGCACATGTTACATTTGTGCTGAAGTGTTTGTCTTTGCTGTCTCTCATTTGTCTTCCCTAAAACTGGCACATTTCACAAAGCAGAATATTCCCAATGGGATTTAACGGCATGAAGGAATGAACCTTGTGCCCTTGAAGGAAAAAAAAAAACTCTCCTCCTCATAAATGTCCTTTTGAAATGTGACCACAAGAGGGGGTAGTTTCCTTGCCGTTGTCAGTCATTTTCTGTCAGGGACTCTTTGGCCGCGGTTCTCAAAGTATGCCAGTGCTGTACCAGGATCGCACTGTTGTTAAGTTTGGGTCCCTGTGAAGATGAAAAGGCTGGAGGAAGATGAATGGTGTACGATGTTCTGCGAGCCAGTTCCTTTTACAGTACATAAAATGTGTGTTTTTTACCGCCTATGGTTTTTCCTTCCACTCCAGGGGTGAGCGTTCGTGTTCAGAGGCCGATGTTTGTGCCAGGGTGTGGTGGGCCCCATGAATTTGTCAACTCTGTGTCTTTCTCTCATTTTCTCCCCACTGTCATTCCTTTCCCCCACTGGCTCTGTTTCTCATTTATTATCTCCCTGCTCACTCACCCCTATCGCCTTATCTCCTCCTACCTTCCTTTCCTTTCTTTACTCTTTATTCTCTTCCTTTTCTTTGCTTCCTCCCTTTCCTCCTCTTCCTCTCATCCTCGTCTTTCCATCCCTTTCTCCTTTTTTCTCCCTCCTCCCCCCGCCTTCTCCCCACGTTCTCCTCCTTGCCTCGAAGGTCCCATGGGAGCCTTGTGGTTCGTCTGCTGGAAGGCATACCAACACCACCGCCGCCACCACTGGAACCTCTCTCTCTTTTTCTCTCTTCGCCCTCCTCGCTCGCTCTTTTTTCTCTCTTTTCCCCCCCCTCTCTCCTTTTTCCTCCTCTCTTTTTAATGTGGAAGTTTTGAGCAATTGCTGGCTGCTTCTGTGGCTTGGTGGGAATGGCATTTTTAGAAGAATGCCTCATGCTGTGGCTTAAACCCATTCCTGCGTCCCCTCCGATCACACACACACACACACACACACACACACACACACACACACACACACACACACACACACACACACACACACACACAACATAGGTGGATACTGGATGTAGACACAGTGCAGAGACATGAACATGCATGCAAAACACAAGATGTCACTGGTTGACTTTGATTCTTTTAGTTGCTGTCCTGATTTGAAGAAGGTTAAAGATGTCACATGCTGACCACAAGAATGAAGCTGTGTGGGAAGCTAGCAGTCATCTGTGTGTCTGCAGTCTCAACGATTAATTTAAATAAGAATAAAGTCTACAACACTGCTGGCCTCTCTGTGGGGATGTACTCGGGCAGAGTGATGCTTGTAGCTGAATACTAACAACAACATGCTGACATGTCCCCAGTGACAAGGTATAACATGTTGATGTTAAGCAGGGTTTTAACATTTGAGCACTTAATACAAAGTACAGCTGAGACTGATGGTAATGGCATCAGTCTAACAGGATGTATAATATACATAATATACATATACTAAATAGAAATTAATAATTAATAATTTTGACTTGATAATGGCTGAGTATCTCTTAATTTTAACCAAAATGTTCTTTCTATGTTGTCATTTTTGTAATCTTTTTAATTGACACACTACATCTATTGCACGTCTGTCCGTCCTGGAAGAGGGATCCCTCCTCTGTTGCTCTCTTTAAGGTTTCTTCAATGTTTCCCCATTAACTGTGGGGTTTCTTTGTCAGAGGTTAGGGTCTAAGGACAGAGGGTGTCATATTCATATTCTGTAGAAATTATAAAGTCCCCTGAGACAAATGCAAAATGTGTGATATTGGACTATATCAATAAACTTTGTTTGGCAATCCCCACAAATGGTGATGCTTTAGGAAAGGTCAGGGGATCACAACAAAGTTATTAAGGTACATCATCTAAAGGGTATTAAAGCTATCCCACAGTGAGATATTTCAATTTAGGCCCAAAATGGAACCATTTTACAAACTTGACCAGAAATTAAAATCCGCCAACTTGAACAATTCATAATCTGTTATCCAGAGACATTTTTTGCTGATATTTAAATGTTAAAGCTATCTCTTATGTGTTTAATCTATCTACAGAGTTTTGGAGAAGACATGCAACAATCGAATGACCACCCAGAACATCGGCATCGTGTTCGGACCGACCCTCATGCGTCCAGAGCGGGACAACAGCAACATGGCGGTGAATATGGTTTACCAGAATCAGGCGGTGGAGCTCATCCTCAGCGAGTTTGACCACATCTTTGGAACAAGAGGCCCCTCTTGATCTTTTCGGACTGAGGCGGGGAGGGGGATTCAAAAAGCTCTTCCAGATCAGACGAAAGCACAAGTAGTGCAGCATTTGTCCTTTCTGCCTGTTGACTCATGTGGTGTAAAATGGGTTTCACATCAAAAACGTAATTACGGGGTACAAAGAACCAGGAGAGAAAGCTGCTAATCATGACATCTGGCCTCCATATAAAGACATGTTAAAACAATAATAGTAAAACAAACCAATTTTAGCTGCGATACTTGTGTCTTTGACTGCAGGAGCCGACGCCTCCTCGCCACTTTTCATTGGTCTTAAAGACACAAACTGGATTTGTTTTTTAAAGCCATAAAATATATACATCTCCAGCAGCTAGCTGAGTATTAATCAGGTATTTGTCAAGGACTGTGAGGAAGGATATGTCTTAACCTAGCACTGAAACAAAACTTGCCATCTCACTGTGAAAACACATGCACCAGCACCTCATGCAGCCACGATGGACAGATCCCACCTGCAGTGGAAAGCAGAAGATATATACTGTAAAATATGCAAAGTAACAGGAAGCAAGCTAGGCGTGTAAATGTGGCCGCATCCTCACTGAAGCCATACAGTGTTTTAGATAAAGAGTTTTATGTTTATTTCAGACTTCAGAGGTGAAGTTCAACTCTTCAAAGAAAAAAAGCATGATTTCAGTGATGGGATCAAATAGAACCAAATAGTACATTGTCATGAGTGTCAAAGCTTCCCTTACTGTACAAATACGTCATTTATTTTTATTAGTTCAAACTCCTCAGATTAGGAAATATAAAACTGTAAATATGTAAAATACTGTCTTTGTCAACTAGTAGCACTTTGGATACATTGTGTGATCTTAACATTATATATTAGCCAAATTCAAACTGATACATTTGCTTTTAAATGACCAGTGTGGTGTTCAAATATTGCTCGGACCTGATTGTTAACTCTCCTGCAATAAAAAAAGAAAAGTTGAACAAGCTGATTTGATGTGTTTTGTGATATTGGTCAGGACGTGTCTGTCAGGTTGTTTGTACCAAGCTTGCGTGAGAGATAGTGGAAGTGTGTGGAAGTGTGTGGAGGTATAGTGGGCCGCAGCGGGCGGAGGCCTCCCCTGTGATTGGTGTGAATGCTGCTTTTAATAACAGAACAAAAGAGGAACTGGAAATGCATATGTTTAAAAAATGTGGATTCTCCCCAAAACCCTCTCCCTCTCTCACTCTGTGGCTTTGGTAATTTTATATTGACTGTGGGTTTGGCAAGAGACAAAAAAGAGCACAAAATAGGGAGAGGAGGGTGGGGGGCATAGATTTTGCAACATTTTATTAGATGCATTTATTCATTTTTATGTTCCTATTATTTCCAATCGTGACAGTGTTTAAGGAGGGGCTAAATGATGTGTAGTTGAGTGATGGGGAGTCATCTGGACTTATGGGTATTATGTCCAAGGTCGTCCTTATAGTTGACTGACACAGAAATATGTTTTAACCTAAATAGACAACCACATTTGTTTATATGATCCAAATTCATGTGAGCATAGTCATCACAGTTTATACATTTATCTCTCAGTCAGTCTGCAGTTTTTTTTTTGTCTTCTGACAGCGGTATGTTGTAAAGCTTGCCCACATTATTCAAATAAAATATAGCGCCCTCAAAAATAAATGCATTTGGGACTTTTTCTTCTGTCCTCTCTTTTTTAAATGTGTCAACTGAAGGGATTTTTCTTCAATAAAACCCTAGTTGCGTTTAACTGATGTGGGCGCTAGCTGTGTGATGTGTTTTATTTCACTTGGTGTGATGGTGCTAATGACTCCCTAAAATAGAATCAGACACAATCAAACACCCCTCCCTTCTAATCAGCAGCATGTTGGCAGTGAAAGTCAACTCTATTACTTTGGCTTTAATCCTTGCCTTTTTTCTTTCCTCAGTTTCCTTCTGTCTTTCTTCTTTGACTTATTAATCACATGTAATTTAAAACAGCAGTCTGGATATCCCTTAATACATGTGAAAACGATGCAAAATTACCTATTGTGTATGAAAAGTACATTAGAATGTGCAGGCATGTTTTATGTAGACAGAAGAGCACAAGCGCAGCAAAATGTAGCTTTCAACCAAATATCTTTTTAAGCACGCACTGATGAAATGTAACCGCCTGACCATTTTGCATCTGTAGGTAGTTATTTTGTTTGCTTCAACAGTAAAACAAAGCGTTTCTGAGTATGTGTAAGTATTTATTAAAGAAGTGTGGAAGAAAGAGAATGAGAAGGTTGGGGAATGTTTCATCGGTATATGTTTTTCATCCAAGTATCATCATTTTAATTTCATAATCCAATCCACTTTAGACAGTGTACTTTAGAGTAATTTGCTTGGGCAGCGCTATGTTAATATATCTGTATGGTTTATTCTTGCAGGAAGAGATACAGCCGTGATTTTTTGTTACTGTATATCATAGCTTTTGTTCATGAATTATTTGAGAAAAGAAGAGACATCTCTGTAGCATAAAAGACACAAAGCCTTGATCCTGTTGCTCTGGTTAAAGAACAGCTTTTCTGCCCACCAGTAAATGTATATAGCTGTCCTCATTATATACACTCAGGCCTGCCTGCTCTGCTACACTGTTGGTAAGGGGAATTTAAACTTTGAAAAGCTGAGCACCAAAGCAGACAAACTGTCGCTCGGGATTTGATGTGATGTTGCAAGTGAAGCTGGTCTCTGACTGTCGGGATTTTTGCACACCACAAGTAAAAGTCAAGGCAGTTGTCAATTAAATGTCATCGTACTCACTTAAGGCTTAAACCAGCAGAGCAATGAGAAAAACATCCTAACACCACAACTGTTGGTGCTACAGTTTATTGAATGCTGCTGATGCATGGCTCCCAAATGTATCTGACCTACGTCACCCATTTTGGTTTGTTAATGTTACGGTTAGCTGATTGTTTACTCCACCAGCCGTTAACCTAAAGCTTTGTGCATCAAATACAGGCAGAGCTGCTCAGGCCCAGCAGCCACATCCACAGGTTCACAGGCACCAAGCAGCCCCCCCGATGAATCATCATGCAAACAGACACTACAAGCCACAAAACAAAGTCAGTGTAGCAAAACAGTCTGCAGATCATGAGCGGTGATGGGAAACCAAGTCGTAAGGCAACAGTGGAGCCTCGAAACTGTCTTATGTTTAAACATGTTTCTGTTTTTACATTGACCTTTAAAAATAGCTTTTGGTCATAGCTTTTAATTGCATTTTATTGCCTCGTTTAAAATATGTAATCTTATTTCATAACCACAGAATGAGAACTGAACTGAACTGATATCACTTCAATCTTATATTTACACTCTTATAGACCTTTCTGTAAACGTTTTTCAATTAAAGCACGTGAAAAATGTCAATTTATAATCATTTTTAATTGAAAATTCATGAAATACGGTATTTTGGTGACAACATATGTACAATTTTATTACAAATATCCACAAACATGCAAACAACATATATAAAAAGTGAATACAAAAGTTGCACGAGTTCCAGTAAATGATAAGAAAAACACTGCTTGATAAGAAAAAACGGGTGTAGATGCTGAGTAAACTATTTCTTGCTTATTTTTTTACTCAGAAATAACAGGTAAGGAACTAAGAAAGAGTTGGGTGGCAGTTGACTTGCCACATATGCATATCTTTGGTGATAAACACACACATACACCACACACACACACACCACACACACACACACACACACACATAATAACCAAGAAGTGTCTTTGGCACACGGTATGCATGAGTACATTTAGGCTTAGTCACACCTCATGTACCATCGTCTTATCTCTTCGTACCATGGCTTGGTCGGATTACTCACAGTGTCTCAGTACATCTGAGGTACTTTTCACGTTGACTACACTGCAGTCGGAAAGAGGAAGTTCAAAGCTGATGTGTGTGTCCTGAGTCTTGACCCTCTCACCACACCTCGACACGCAGCCCAAATGTGTGACACATTATTCTTCAGGGGGTGAGAAAACGTAGCTGTAGCCCATGTAAATGATTAACAGAAAGAGGATATATCTTTGCATGAAATGAAGTTTCTTTTATCCCCCTTGACATATAGAGATGTCACGATGACAAAAGATGTGCAGTCCACTGCTTTTTGTTTGAAAAATAAATTAAAAAAACACCTTCCTCTTTTTACTGCTTGTTCTCTAAAATTCTAAATATACTGCTTATAAGTCAAAGCCGTTGAGCCATTGAAAACCAGAAGAGATGAGGTGGCTGCACCTTATGATTTCACAGCATGAATGATAAAAGGAGGCTCACTGGCTGTTGGAAAAAGTAATGGAACATATGTGTATTTTCATGTAAAACAGTTTACAAGTTATTGCTCTTGAAATAGAGGTAAGGATTTGTATGAAATGATACCACAGAATATTGAATGTGTCTTGCCCATTCAAGCTCTAACTTTTAAAGTGACAGTCAGACTCTTTCTGTCCTGCAATCAAAGCTTTCCTTCAGGTGTTGTTTCTTAACCTGATCACATGCAAAGAGGCGCAACGTTTCAAACTAAAAAAAGCTGGATCCTGGACGTTCAAATACGAAGGCCTCTTGTTTGTTGGTTGTGCAATATTCGGCAGCAGCAAGCATATCAAAGTGAGATTCCTGCGATGTCACATCTGGACCGGTGACATGACCTCAGATGAGTCAACCCACATGTTTTTTAGCTGTCATGGCAAAGATTAAAAAACTAAAACAAACAAAAAGCATTGTAGGTACATCCAGTCTATTTTGAATGATAAAATACTATAACTGGTATTGTCCCATATATTTTTGTTGTATGGCTTCATCCACTTCAAGGCAACTGTTTGGCAGTTCTGTGCATTTTTTCACTTTGTAAAAATTAGTAAAAAAATCTGTGGAGCTGTTACATACTGTATTTGTATACATATTAGAGAAAACGGTATAAAAAGTCTAAATATATATAGTATAGGCATTGTTTTGGCTTTTTAGAGTTACCCTTAAGTTTTTATTCTGGGTAAATCTGTTATATCATGGCTCAGTTCACATCTGTCCAAGTCTCCATTCTGCTCCTTCATTTTTTGCTCCCAGAATTCTCTCTCTGCATTGTCAATATGATTTTCCACATCATAACCATTTCTCTCTTTTTGCACTCCATTCTCCCTTATAGGTGATCCTTGAATGGGGCTACTCTCCAGCTCCTTGGCTTCCTCTGACAAACCTACATGTGCCTCATGACTATCACTAACTCCTGCCTCTTTATCCTCCTCCTCTTCCACATCCTCCTCCTCCTCCTTGAAGGCCTCTGCAGCTCCATCCAGACTGGAATCGCTGAGGAAGGAGTGTGCGGTTTGGGTATACTCTATGGAGAGGCGGGTCTCGTCGCTGAGGCGGCCCCCGAGGCTGCTCCCGGCCCCCGGGGTGAGAGGCATCTCCTCGGGGTCTTGGTCCTGGTCCTGGTCCTTGCTGCAGTAGGCGTAGCGGTGGTTCATGTGCTGGGAGTAAGAGCCGGAGTGAGAGAAGCGTTTGCCACACTTGTCACATTGGTAGGGTTTCTCCCCAGAGTGCAGACGGCTGTGCTCAATCAGATGGTGTTTGTGCTTGAAGGCTTTGTTGCAGATCTTGCACTCGTGGGGACGCTTTCCTGTAATTAATTTAAAGAAAATTGTTTCAAACATAAAAAAAAAAAAGATGTACCAGCTTCATTTGTATAGAAAAGAGTAATTATAAACATCTGTCAGGCGGGTAGCTTGGCACAAAGAAACTGAGACAAGAGGGAGGAGCCAGCCCGGCTCTATTCAAAGGTAATCAAATCCTTTTACCAACATCTTTAAGTCATACATGTTGTAGTAATCTATAAACTATAGGAAATGGGATATCATGTAAGTGTATATGCTACTGACCTGTGTGCTCGTATTTGTGTCGAAGCAGAGAGCTGCTCTTCTGAAAGGTTTTTTCACAAATGTCACAAGCGTAAAGCCCTTCATCGGTCTTCTTCAGTCTCTTCCTCCCTGGTCCTCCATCCAGTCCGTCATCCATGAGAGAAAGGTAGTCCAGAGCGCCGCGGCTTAACACCTCACCCTAAGCGGGAAACGTACAAATATATAATTTGTATTGTTCTAGTTCTACACATTCGTACAGCAATGCTATAAAATATAGTTTTTTTTTTTGGTTTTCTTCAGCATAACACATCATTCTTAACAAAAACACCTGAAAGAGAAGCCTTACTCACCATAAGAGCTTGTCTCTCCTGATGGATCTTCTTCAGTGTGGCCTCTGCGTCTGCCTCCATCATGAAGGCCATGGGAGAGAGAAACCTAGGGCTGTTAGCTGGCTGGCTGAATGGAATCGCTGCAATGCCGTCATGTCCTGAAAGCCCTAAACCAGACTGGTTGAAGATAGGAAATCCATTATATAAGGAACCTGGAAACACAGGAGCTCCAGCCCTGCTGAAGATAGGGTGGTGGTGGAGGGGGAGATGATGAGATGGACTTGGTCTCTTGAACTGCTGGTTCCCACGCTCTCTCCTCTCTCCTCGGGCTGCATTACCATTTACAGTTTTGTGTCTCCCCTCATGACCTGAGAGCTGCTTGGGCAGGGAGAGGTCGAGGGGCTCGTTCTGTCCGGACCACGGGCTGCTATGAGGGGAGGTCAGCTCAGGGGGACAGCTGGTGAGGTCCAGGCAGAGCGGAGAGCCAAATCCTGATGGAAACCTTCTTCTGACTCGAGGTGATGTCAGCTCTGGGGAGTGGTTGATTGGATGGCTTGGGCTTCCCTTTTCCTGGTTTGTCCAGAAGGCTCGTGAGGACCGGTTGTCGTGTGGGGGAGATTGCATTGCGACTAAAAGCTGCTGCGGTATAGAGTGCCAGCTGAGCTTCTGTAACGGTGATTTGTTTTCGGAGAGGCCGTTGGTTGCTTCACTTGGTTTGCTGTTCTCCGCTTTGATGGCAGATCTTGGGAAGTATAAAGGTGGCGAGGAGTGGTCTTTGCTGCGTAGACCCTCAGGCACCTCCATTGCCTCTCGGTTCAACTTACAGAGGTAGCGCTCGTGTTGCAGGAGCACTGCTACGTTGGGGAAAAGGTGGGAGCACCAGCGGCACGACATCCCAAGAACACCTCTCTCTCCCTCACCTGACCTCACTGCCTCTCTCCTCCTGTCGGGGGAGACCTTCATGTCAGCCCCTCCTCCGTTGAAAACCCCCTTCCTTTCCTCCATCGCAGCTTCTCCTCTGTCCATGTCCGCATCTTTCTTCACCTCCCTGTGAAGCATTTCCTGCAGCATCTGTTCAAACTTGGTCCCAGTGGGCAGATAAGGCAGCAGGGTGGTCCCTTTCAGTATACTGGTCCTCACAGAGAGCTCTGCTGAGGGGTCCCAAAGCTGAGCCAGGTCTGACGCTCTGGGGAAGCCCGTGGTGTTGGGGTCCTGCAGGGAGAGATGGTTAGGGTCCTCTGGTCCTCGACCCAGAGGACCAGCATGACCTTTGGACTGTGATGCAATCGGAGAGCCCTTTTCAGAACTGTTTCCGCCACCTCCTCCAGAGGGAGATGTTGGAAATGAGTGGTGGAAGGAGCTTTGGCTATGTCCATTAAACGCACTGCTGGCTCCTCCTGTGATTCCCCCCCCATTCAGGCACTTTTTGCTGCTTAAGTGGGAGCTGTAGGAGCCGGAGTGAGAGAAACGCTTCTTGCAGTTGGAGCACTCGTAAGGTTTCTCACCTAAAGGACGACACACAGGCGGGATATATTAGTCAAAAGATGTATGAAAATAACTTTTTTATAATGATCTTTGCATGGATCTTTTTTTGACTTGTTTCCTGTCAACACTTCAAGTTATGTTTAATTGAATGACATATACTGATAAGTAACAGTTAGTGATACATTGGAAACAATGGCAAATAGAAGGTTGGCACAACTTGGTTGACGGGTTTTTGTTCTCACCGCTGTGGATGCGGAGATGCTCTTTGAGGTGGTGTTTGTACTTGAAAGCTTTCCCACACTGCAGACATTTGAACTTCCTCGTCTCAATGCCTTGATCCAAACCGAGGACACTCTAGGATGACAGGACATTGTTATCAGTTGATTGGACAAATTGCAGGGTGTGAAGAAGTATACACAAAGTTACAAATAAATGACTTTAACGCAACAACTTCTAAATCATAGAATAAAGTTATGACAATGTGTCTCTTTGCAGATATAGAAGTTGCTCCTGCTGTGTATCTCACCTTGTCCTGCATTTGGTTATGAAGTGCCAGGTGCCGCTCCATCTGTGCCCTAAGGGTGGCAGTGTATCCACAGAGCGGACAGACCATGTGGCCCCCCTCCCTCTCCTGACAGTACTTGATGTGGTCCCTCAAAGAAGCTCCTCGCTGAAACATCCTGTGGCAGAACGGACAGGCCTGCTCGCTCCTCCCTGCATCTGAGGTCCAGGAATAAAGGTGGTGTTTTAAATGGACAACAAAATTAAATTCTAAATAGATTTTTGTTTGAACCGGGTAAAGTTATGATATTTTACTCAATCATTTTTTTAAATATAGCACAACCTGCATGTATGGATTGCCATATAGATGTGACTAGTGTCAAACTGGATGATTAGGTGATGTGTGTTTTCAGAATTACATTAGCATAAACAATTACAAATATATGATTTATCACTTTTATATAAATGTCGGCCTGCATCTTAATGGTTTCTCATTCTAATAACTTACTGACTAGCTTAAAACCAGTCATGTAAGATTTGTTTCATTATTATTGAGTGTCCTTGCAGCTGTTCCAACACGTACCTGCCCCCTCAGGTGAGCTGTGCTGAGCTCCAGGAGACCAGATGGCCGGGGGCAGCTCGTCCAGCCGGCTGCCTGCGTGGTACGCTGCTGCGGAGCCGCTGTGGTTCAAGCGCTCCAGGAGACTGGCTGAGGTAGAGGCCTTCCTCAACTGGACCAGAAACTCATAGTGGGCCAGGTCCTCCAAGGAATTCTGGGAGTCTGAGTTATTGCCTAGGAACAGAGAAGAACGTTACAGAGGTACAGTAATATAAGTAATAATGATAAAAAGAATCATCATCATAATCGTAATAATGCTATCAGTCAAATGTATCTCTACTGTAGCTTTGTTAATTGTGCTTTTTTTGCATTTATTTGTTCACGTTTTTTTGTTTAGTTTTCTTTATTTCCAACTGATATACTCAAATTCACACAAACAAATCCAATATAAAACTTTAAAGGTGGGGTAGGTAAGTTTGAAAAACCGGCTCGAGATACACTTTTTGTTATATTCCATGGAATGCTCTTAACATCCCGATAGCAATGAATATCAAAAGTGCTTTGACAAAAAATCCATAAAAAAATGTCATCTGTGGAAGCTGTAATACTGTAAAAAGCACGACCAATCATTTTAACCGGCCCGGCTAAAATAACTGGATGGCCTACCTGCCTGTCAGCCTTCCATCTGTGCACAAACTTATCTCGTGCCCTCATTGGTCGTGTGCGCGTTCGTGTGTGTTGGAGGAGGGGCTCTCTAAGGAAGTGGCAGATTTTTTCCGGCTGTGTATTTTCAAATTCTAGAGCACTCGAGCTGGTTTCTCCAAAATTACCTACCCCACCTTTAAGTTTAATAAAAAATAATAAAAAAGTTGACAAACTAAAGCATGCTTTGTTTAACCAGAGGTTAGTTCTTACATGAAACTGTTGAGCTGTTTTCTGTGATTTAGGAACATATTGGTAAAAGATTCCATTTGTCTTTTTCCCATTGTGCTAAAAGTCTCACAGAAATACAAATAAATTGTTCCCGGGAAGGCAGCATTAAAGCCAAACAGAGAATAAAAACAGGATAATAAAAGTCTCACCCACACTGCACCAAAGAGCATAAACAATATCCAGTTATTTTGCAGATTGATACATTGCATTTCTACATGATCTCGCCTTCTGGGTTTTTCATTTTGAACATTGTCAGTGATTGCATCAGTGCAATTGAACCAATGTTAAATTAAATTGTTGAGAAAGAAATGTCTTTGCGTGAATGAGTATGTCTCATACTGTATATGGATATGCTAGGAGAGAAGGGATAACTTGTAAAGAGACATTGTGTGATTGTGCGGCTGAATCTAATGGAACTAAATTGCCTTCTTAAGACCGACAGATAGAACAATGTATTCAGGGAACTTCTTGGCCAGATATGAAACTTGATTTGAAGAATTATTTCTCAATTGGGTCCTCGAGTGCAGTGACAGGCAGACAGAGAGAGAGAAAGCCACGTGAAGAAGAGAGGGCGCTTCCTATCATGAATCAAGCCAGTCAGCTTACAGCGACTTTGAGGAAGATTTTTCAAATGTTTGCAGATGTTGGCATATTTTGAGCTGTTTTTTTATGTGGTGAAGGGAAGAGCTTGTGCGGTTGAGTGTTGTAAAAACTCAGCTTTGCCTTCATCAGGCAAGACCAAATCACACGAGGCGAGGGAGCTAAGTGATTGTTAGTAGGCAAGCCGAGTGAGCCTTTGATCTCTCCTAAATAAAAGGGAAAGCCTCGCGTCGCGCAGTGCTGATTTCAATACCGTAACGTCACCTCTTTGATGCATGGAAATATTGTGACATTGTGTGGGATTACTTCTTTTGTCATGCTTTCAGAAGGCTGCCTTTTCAAAGAGAAGAGTGAAAGACAGGAACAGCTTGTAGGGAAGGCATGGTTTCACAAGGAGCTGATATGAAGGTGTATCTAGAGGGCTCTGAGAGGCATCATGAGACTGCCGCCGTCTTGCATCAGAAAAACACTGAGAACTTGTTTACACGCACAGTGGGGTCCTACACAGCACTCTCATACAGTGAACAGATCACATTTTACACTTTGCACACTTCCTTGGACATGCCTTTGTTCTAGAGAGGCTTCTCAGAAACTTAAAAAAAAAAAGTTCTACAGGTTTATTTTAGTTTATAACTTACAGTACATCCTCAACGGTTCCTGGTCTCCCTCCCTGTCGGTGACAGATGCTGTGTTGGCGTCTTCTGCCGTCTCCACCTCCCGCTCCACCTGCGGCCAGTAGCTCCTGCTGCCGGGGCTGAGGCTGAGCGGCCGGGTGGAGCGGGCCGGGCTGCCGGTCTCCTCCGTCCCCTCGCTGGGCGTCAGGCTCGTCTTGTCCAGGCTCTCCTGACAGTCCTGGTGCTCCAGGCTCCACAGGCCCACCTCATCCTCCCCCTCTGACCCCAGGGAACTCACCTGCTCAGCATCCACTGTGAGAAGGAGAGAAAGAGAACATTTAGAGTGGTGACAAAAGACCATCAGATTTGCAGTAGGCCTTTTGCTCATTAGGGAACACAATATTGTATATTGTTTTGTACAATAATCTACAATGATCAAAATGAAGGAGATAGTTAATTTATTATTTTTTGGTTTACATGATTTTTTAAACATAATTCAAAAGGTAACATTCATGAGTTTCTTATAATTTCAGCTTGAGATCAAATTCAAAAAGATCAAATGCTTGTTTTCTCTTTAAAATGTCAGGAACTGAAACTAAACAGGGGAAAAACACAATAGAAATTCAAAATGTTTAGTAAATTCCAAACTACATCTTAACTGTTGTCAATGACGAACAACAATATAATTATTATTCCTTTTAGTTAGTTTAGTTAGTGTTGTTCCTCTTTAAGCAAGGGAAACGAAATGCCTTCTGAAGAAATTCAATGTGTTTTATCATGGGAAATGTATGGCTTTATGTGGTATGTGCCGATTATGATCATTACAAGCAGACACGCTTAGTGTGCATGTTTCTTCAAAATAAATGTACAACTGTATTAAGGATGTTCTTAACTAGAAATTAAGGCATGTCAAAAATGTTACTAAGCTTTGAACTTAACATGAAACTTCTGACACTATATAAAAAAGTGAAATGTGGTTTATGATAATGGCAGCATTAAATACGTGCAATCACCGCTAAATGCACTTTAACACAGGGGTATCTCCTCTTGCACTTTAGGTAGCTCTTGTATCTTATCTTGCCCTTTATATGTCGTAGCTGCTAGATTGTACTGCCATGTGGTAAATACTTGTGTGTGCTGCTCTTGCTCTTTTGCACTTTTTGCATATCATGTATTTGTTTTTGCTATGTGTATAATTGTCATGTTCTTAAATGTTTTATGTGAGGGACTGCGGATGGAAATGAGCTAAAAGCTAAAATCCCACATATTTACACTATTTGCATTTTTTTTGTTTAATGTGTTCATTAATGTGCATTGTCCCTGCTAAATAAACGATTAAATGAAATTAAATGAAAATATATATTTATTTATTAAGGTCTTGACTTAAAAAGAATCTCATCCATCTTGATGATCCAACTTTCTAGTAAAATACATATTTTAGGGTTACTATTAAATTGAAATGTGTAATTTTCAGGATTAATCTCTAAAAAAAAGTATGAAATGGAAAAGTGTATTTTGAACTAAATGTGTTTGTATTTGTTATTGCTCTCAGAGAAAACACAATTTGTGCGACTGTAGAAAAAACATTTGTATGCCTTAATGTTTCGCACATGTACGGTATGTTACTTGTGATGCAGCAAGGATATAGTGAATCAGAAATAAGAAAAGATAAATAACATATTGTAATTCAAAAGTGTTCCCTCGGTGCCCAGACTGCATTACTTTTTCCCATGGCAAAGACAATAAATGACAATCACAAACACATGCCTGGGATTTCAGCTGTAGGCTCTGATTTCCAAGGATATTTTTGAGGACTCTGTTTCCCTCTCACTGATTGGCAAAATCTAATCACAACCAAGTAATGACCATTAAAGAAGGCACATAGACTCTTTGCCAGTGCTTTTAAAACATATTGGAGAAAGACAAACCATTGTCAAAGGGTGTGCCAAAACACAGAGGGCCAAATCGTATTTCTTTGTTGTAAAACTTTTTTTTTTTTGATGACAGTCACAGTACAATATCGTCACGCTTCTTACTAGTTTTAAATAAATGTTGCTCTTTGAATTCTTTTGTTTATATCACAGTGGAAATAATGTTTCACAGCTCACTACATTTCATAAAACTCAAACAAAATGTTTGATTAAAATGACAAAACAACAGTCAGTCAATATTAAAAAATAAAGAAAACGTTCATTTTACACGGAGCTGTTTTAAAACCACTCTTGGCCGGTGGACTCTATAATTGAAGAGAATGTAGCTTTTGACACATTCAGTTAAGGCCCAGAGCTCACAGTGACAAACGCCAGAGACTGTTCTACATCGGAGGAAACATTTCAGCAAATGTCGTCAACTTTACATCGAGAACACACACACAGATTGTACACTCACTCTGTTACTGAAAGAGCAAACGAGACCCAGTGCTGAGGAGGGGGCGGCCCGCAAACACACACCTAAAACACTCGATGTACACACTAGTTTGATGAGTATATTATCTAATCTCCAAATGCAACACCCACATGTGTATCTGTTTGTATCATCTAGTTGCAAAACCTTCCCCAGCTTCAATACACTTCCCAAAAAGTGAGCTCATGCAAAACACTAGGGGCTAGTCATCTAAGCCTAACATGGGGAGGAATGACTTGCTCTTATGGGGGGTGAAATTGGTAATTAAATGTGCTTCCCTACAGCAGAAAGCTATGAAATTATATGATGTAGTTAAGGTTTGACCTGCAGGAGTTTCCTTGGATAATAGGACATACTGCTGGGCACTAAAAGAGAAAGTCTGTTCCGGATTAGCATCAAATTGGCTCTCATTTTCTCTGCAATGACAGTGAGTGACACTGAGCCTATATGTGCTGTCATTAAAGCCGCAACGCCCTGGGATGGCTTTCATTATCGGCCCGTTGATTTATTTATTTGGAGAGCGATTGCATCCTTCAAATTGTTTCATTTTTTACTTTGGAGCAGCCACATCTTTGAACACCACAGGAGGCTTGGGATTGTGTTTCAAGGTACAAAGGACTTGTGAATTAATGCAATGTGCAATAGTTTTCCGAATGTGTAATTTGTTGGAAGATGTTGAGCAGAAAATAACACAGAAAACAGTTCACTCTTATTGTCATGCACTGTAGTGTGCGTGGGAAGAACGTGACTCATATCTAGAGAGTGCTAACCGAACTGTGCTGCATCATGCTTGACAATGTCGATCACTTATTCTGGGGACTGCATCTGATGTTTGACAACAACACTGTGTTCTGATCAAACACTGCACAACTATTTAAATCTGTCTGTCGCTTTCACTGCATGACAGCGACTGAACGTCTGAAAGATTGATGGTGTGCCTGCCAGAAAGAAGTCTTCTTGGGACACCAGTGTTATCGTGACAAAACACACCACCGTTCTGTGGGCTTGTGATCTATTTTGAAACTTATCGAAAACCTTAAAAATTATGACCTGCAGCAGATCTTTTATTATTTACATTGTTTGGTTAGTTTTCCAAAGCTAGCTAGCATATATATGACACACAAAGAAAGAATCTTCCCACCACTACACTAAAACACAAACCCTAACTTTAAAAAAGTTACGTAGGACCTGCAAAAATGTAAATCTGAATTTCTTTTGCACTGACTCTCTTCAGCAAAGAGAGCTTCAGAGCCGGTCTAATTCTGCACTGTTTATATCCCAGAGGGCATCTACTGTACAGCAACACGCTAAGCTGCAGTTTATTTTACGACGCACATATGTGATCTGGTATTGACTTAGTAATTATGTGGGTAAATGGTAAGCACGGAATAATTACCTAGAAATTACCTTGTTTGTTTCTTCTGGTTTTAAAGGCAACAAACAAGGCCAGGCCCAATTTACCACGCAATGAAATTGTTACAGTTCTGTTGATTCCTTCAATTGAAGGTCCATATAAACAAAGCCAGAATAACTGTAATGTATTGTTATCAAGCAATTTATTAGATTGTACTGTCTTACACCAGATAAAAACAACCTTATAAATAATGTATCTATTTATTTATGTAATGAAATATCAGTTTATTTTTTTTATTTTTTATTTAATTGTTTATTTGAACCGGGACAGTGCACATTAATGAACATTTTAAACAAAATAATGTTTTTAAATGTAAATGAGCCGGATTTGAGCTTTGAGCTAGTTTCCATCCGTAGTCCCGTCACATACAACATTTATGAACATAACATTTATATACATGGCAAACAGAAATACATGATATGCAGAAAGAGCATGAGCAGCATACAAGCCACAAGGCAGTACAATGTAGCAGCAATGACATATCAAGTTTAAGATTTTTTGATAACAGATGTTAACTTTTTTAGAAATACTGTCTGAAATGAATGTGTCATGAAAGTACATTTTTTGTTACAAACACACAATATAAGCCACTCACAATATATAAATACAAAAATTATAATAAATACAAAAATTACCTTAAAATTAACACAGGAAATACAATCAAAGAGTCTTTTTACGTTTTGAGTTTCGTTTTTAGAATTGAAATGTTTTACATTTATTTTACGTTTTACATGAAATTACTTTCAAACTTATATTCTAATCCAAAAGTTATCCTGATACACAAATTAATAAAAATCAATGTAGCTCTTCGACAGAAATAATGATTACCATGCCACGTTAAAGTAACATCTGATACATTTCACACAGTAAAAATGTAAGTGGTAAAACTGCCTGAAACTTAATGGCATAATTAAACACATACTGACGCAACATACTTTTGTATCCAAACTATTTCTGCCATAGAAATATATTTAAAATGTTAATTCTAAATTATTTAGTTTTAGTTCATGTATATTATACAGCTACTTCCATACTGTTAAAACTGTCACGGTTTCACAGGTGTCTAAAGACTTGCTATTTTGAACTCAATATATTACCACAAGGGTTACGGACACCTACACACCCGCTAAACAAAATGCAAGCTCAGGAACATGTGTGCCTTGTCATTTTACAGTACCTATTTGAGATGTTTAAAGATGAAGTGTATCCAAATTCATCTGTAGAGCGTGTTCATGTTGACGATGACCCATCTTGAAAAATATTGCAGAAATCAACCAAGTCATTTCAAGAAATCTCACTGTGGCAGCTATTGTATTCATACCTGCTCTCTGACATTTGTACAATGAGTCAGGGGAGGACCACAACCAAAAACAAACACCTCCCACCTCACCTCCTCGATCGTAGCAGAGACTCACAGTCTGTCACTCAGGGTGATGGCTCCCTCTGACTTGGGCACCTACTCTGGTTTCGTTTACCCTGCCCTAACAACACTGAG